TTGCTGTTATATAACGAAAAGTATACTTACAATAGTAACGAATATAATCATCATTCTTTGCTGTACGAATTTAAACTTGGGACAAAATCACTATAGAAATGCATGCAAGAGCTCACCACACATTCAGGTTTATACCGAGGTCCATGGGTAAACATTAGTCGGGTTTATATCGAAGACCGTGGCTAAACGTTGGTTGGGCTTATATCGGTGGCCGTGGCAAATAGTAGTCAGGTTTATAAGGGAAAACATGGGTAAGCATTGGTCGGGTTTAAGCAGGAGTTCGTGGGTAAACATTAGTCGGTTTTTAGCAGGAGTTCGTGGATAAACAGCGATCGGATTTATACCTGAGTCTGTAAGCATCCACTCAGCAGATTGTTAAGTTTGAAATATTTGATATATAACACATGCCATGTGATGTGGCAGCTATTGAGGACGTACCGTATACACTCGTGTAAATGTCGATTTATTTTTGCAAAAGATTTTAATTTCCTACATATCAGGTAAAAGTATTTCATTTTTTAAACAATAATTTTGGATGGCATTAAAAGCTCTTAAGTTATTTCTTATTTCATTTTTCATAGAATAACGAATAATCGATGAAAAATTAAAGTGTTATCCTGTATTAAAAAATACAAATAATAAGTGAATAAGTTCTGTAAAGAGGAGTATATATATATATATATATATATATATATATATATATACACTCTCTCTCTCTCTCTCTCTCTCTCTCTCTATATATATATATATATATAATGTCATTTATTTTAAGATGTTAAAAACATGTTAAAATCGCTACATAATGGCAATTATGTTTCAATACTACAAATGTGTCTCCTCAGGCGATGTTAAACTACTCTTTTAATATCCTAAAATAAATGATATTTAGCTGTACTCTGTATTGGGCCCTCTTTTTAAATTAAAAGTTATGTTCGGTGGAATTATACTCTATTTGTTCTCATTTTACCTGTATATATATATATATATATATATATATATATATATATATATATATATATATATACATAAAGTCAACATATAGAGACAGTCAGTCTGTTTCAGGCTAGATGCAATCGTCAGGCCTGACGATTGCATCTAGCATGAAACAGACTGTCGCCTCTAAGTGTTGACTTCTGTGTTCGCTTTTATATTTAAACACGCTCTATCTCTGATATTGAGCACTTTATCCCATAAATATAGCACATATATTTCTGCATATATATATATATATATATATATATATATATATGGAATGCACATCTCTCGTTGGCACTTCTCCGAATCTATATCTGTTAGCTTTATTTTCGTACCTACCCGAAACATCATCATCATCTTTTGTAATCGTAGTGAGGATCCGAATGTAGAAGCCCGACTAAATCTCCTTCACAACAGTCTATCAACGGCAGCCATCAGAAATTTTGATACAGTCTTACTTGTCCATTGTTTGACATTGTCCAACCAGTTTTTACGTTGGTGTCCTCTCTTATGTCCACTTTCAATGGTGCCTTGAATGATGATCTTGCTCAGGCTGTCGTGCCTTGTAATGTGTCCAAACCACGCCATTTTCCCCCCGTCTGACAGTGACGAGAAGAGGTTCCTGAGGGGCCCAGAAAACTTTCACCCCTTTTCAGCACAAACTCATTGGTTTTATGTTCCAATGGGGAAAGATGTCAAGGAGTTTACTCATGGATTTGTTCTCAAATGCTTGGATCCTTATCTCTGCTTCTGCCAAAAGTGTCCATGTTGCACTTCCATATAGGACAATGGAGACGACCAGCGATTAACCAAAACATAAAAAACAATAAATTTTGAATGGATGTTTTTTTTTAGGTATTATTTGTTATTACTCTAAATGTTATTTTTAGTGGGTACATGTTTTCAGATGCTATCTCTGTTTCTTTTTGTTCATTTTAAGCAGTGAAATTAATAACAACCGGCCTAGAACGAGAAAACCAACTAAAAAACGTTCTGTTACGAAAACGAAGCTAATATTGATACTTAGAAGTCTCAACGAAAGAAGTGCGTGGTTTTACCTGATGGAAAAAGGGATATAGGTTCTATTCCTCTTGTTATATATATATATATATATATATATATATTTTCAACTTTAATATTGCCTTGTCCACTCAATATAATAAGTATCATATTTTAATGTTCAATATATATAAATGTCTTTTAATTATACTAGTGGAACCTTTAAGAAAGTTCTGCAGTATAAAAAAAAATCGAAGTTCCTTAAAAATAACTTTTTGTGGAATATAACTCATTGTCTACTTCACCATATCTAAACTTTATGTTTGTAATACTATGTCTACTCCGGACGTGTCTAAAGTGTCAATTTATCTAGACATGAATTAATAACTCCACCCTCTGATCTTATTTTTCATTTTTATATTTTAGCTTAGATCTGTCTTTTAATTGGTTAATCCATACATACTCACAAGTATGTTTTTTAATTTTTGAAATTATGGTTTTCTCTCTTCCTTTTGACTTTCCAATGAGGTAACGACTTGTTTTCTAGTTTCTTAAATAAATCATTTTCATCATAAGTTATCTACCATCGACCGACTAGGGACAGTTATAATTCCGAAACATAATTTTTTTGTAACGATATAAAATATTACATATATATATATATATATATATAAACAAGTTTTTTGTTGTACAAAACTTAATAATAGCAAGGAATAAGCGTAATTTAAAAGGCATATTAGTGTAAATTTAATAGCTAAAAAAAAACAACCGGTTTCGTCCCAGTTTTATCAAGTTGAATTCTGGGAAATAAAAGAATAGAGGTGTAAATTAATTAAAGATGACTAATGAAGGGGGAGAAAAAAAAATTCAGGGAAAACTAAAGACCAATAATATTCAGACCCAGCAAACAATCCTGTTTACAGAGGGAAGGCTTACGGGATTTGATATATAAGGACCCCAGAACCTTGAGATGATATAAAGAGTGGGACCTTGATAGAATAGAAAAATGGTCCACACTAAAGTCAGTAATACAAATCCTATACATTATATATATATATATATATATATATATATATATATATATATATATTGTGTATTTAGGCGGCAATCCCTCCTTTACACATGTTTTGTTCAAGACGACTGATAAGGTACTGCGATTAAGCTTTTTATTTAATTTTTCTTGTGTTCGTAGAAGTGTTTTTTTTCTAGACACAAAGTGTGTAAAAACAGTCGAAATGTTCAGCATTTCGGAGAATTTTCATCTATTCTTTTAGTCATTATCAAGGATGATTTTATTTTTTACTTTTTAACTGAATATATGGGTTATCTAGAGTCACATCGAATAACGCCGACGTTGGGTTCCTGAAAAGCCCCCAAATCATCGAAGACTGCTAACCTGGATAATACGGAAATATAAAAATACACGAACCCAGATACCCGCTCTGAGCAATCATTTACCAGATCCCAACACCTACCTATGAGCAATCAAAATTCCTTAATGACATCATTACCCGCTACCTATCTACTGGTTACAGCATCACATTCACCCATGAATTCCTCCATATTCTAAAATGTATAAAACCAACCTGTTATATTCCTTGCAATAGAGGGATCTCGCTCCGGGAGAATTTGGTGTGAATTTTAGTAAATATAAATTCTTAATATTTTGGGGTGAACTAATAGAAAAGATCCTTTGCTTGTTATATATTGTGTTGGGTAGCTTTCTATAGTGTAATCATTTGTGGGGGTGACTGGTTATTTCATTATATCACAACCCAAGATATTTTAGCGACACTCAACGTTGAAAATTTATTCTCAAACGTCCCCATTTATGAAACCATTGACATTATCCTTAACTCTGTGTGTATAAATAATCAAAAAATATTACATGCATGCACAACCAAATTCCCCTTCTATGACCATAATGGCAATATCTATATCCAAACTAACGGTGTCAGTATGGGAAATCCGCTCGGCCAGTGGTTCTCCAATTACTATATATCCCGCGTAGAAAACATGATATTTAAACAGGCCACTAAACCCCAAATATATGTCCGCTACGTACACGATATTTTTATTTTAGTGAAAAACACACAAGAAATGAAAAAAAAAAAAACTCTGTCCTTAACTTTACCTACGAACATCCCAAATAAACTCACTTTACCTTCAATAACTCAACAATGCAAAACAGGCACTAGTTAACAATGGTTTTCCTAACTACCTCATCGACCACCGGATTAGACTATTTCTTTCCAAAGTAAATAATAATGATGCAGAACACACAGATAAAAATAATAAATATTTTCTACAAAAGCCTAATGCATATCAAATTAATCTTCACTTGGAAATATTATACACGATCCCAGTTCACTCGAACAAAGAAATAAATTATCTATTGCAAAAAAATTTAAAACAGCTATCCTTATCTTCAAAAATAACAAGACACCTACCAAATGAAAACTACAAAGAACGAACATTTGTTATGAGTTCAAATGACCCTTAATGAACTGGGTTCCTGATCAAACCAAACTCATAAATAATTACACCTGTTACACTACTACATGCCTATCCAGACGACTTACGTTACACCTATCCAACTACAGCTCCATTAGAACTCATTTAAATATACACACAAACATACCAGACTCCATCCGAAACATTACTAGTAGAAAATACAAGCATAATAACCTCATCTACATGTAAAAAAAATATTTAAAATAATGAAATCTCTAATAATAAAAAAAGAAAAAGCCAACACTCAGTGACATTAACTACGAACACGGCTACAACTTGCTGACAGTGTTTGAAAAATAAAACATCTTTATAACTATATACATACACACAGCCCATACATTCAGTTAAAGAGTAAAAATAAAAACATCCTTGATAATGGCTAAAAGTATAGCCGAAAGCGTTCGGAATTACAGAAGCTTTCGACAGTTTTTACGAACTTTGTGTCCAGATAACACTTGGACGAACACAAGAAAAATTAAATAAAAAACTAGTACCTTGTCAATCGTCTCTAACGAAACACACACACACACACACATATATATATATATATATATATATATATATATATATATATGGGGTGAGGTAAAAGTCGCGCAAAATAGGAATAATTTATTTATTAAAAGTATAAATACACATGAAAATTTTATTTCTAGTCATTTAATTGTTATCTGTACTGTTCAAAATGTCCTCCTAATTTTTTAGTTCTATCCCTGCAAGATTTATTAATACATCGGAGAGTTTTCTTTGTCATTTTACTGCATTCATATTTAATTATTTTTATAATTAATTAACCTCTATGGTGCGCAACTTTTGCATCACCCTGTATAAAAAAACATTGAAGGCAACACCCAGTGTGTTTCATGCTTAAACGAAACCTTTCTTCAGGCCATCTTATTTGAATTTTTTTATATTTAGATACGCTTTAGCACTATTAAGACATTTAACTCATAAATATAGCATACCATGAAGATATATTTTTACAAGGCACACATTCCACAAAAACTATCAAACACGAAGCTGATGTCAATTCATAAAACATTTATCTGAAACACAGTTATGATATACAACAACGAATGACAAGAGCCAAGTGTGTGACTTAAGAAGAAGCATGAACCTGGCTCTAACCATTGCCAACTGGTACTGGATTTTGACATGAATTAAGTAATGCACAGCTTAGAAACTCACAATCAACAGTTGTCTCAAATAATACCCTTACACGAGATATTCTGCTGCAATTGCTTTTAACAGGAAAACTTCAATATATATATATATATATATATATAAAATATAAACGTAAACATATATATATATATAATATAAATATAGTGAACATATATATATATATATATATATATATAAATATAAAGTGAATATATATATATATATATATATATATAAATATGATATATATATATATATATATATATATATATATATATATACCCAAGTATATAATTGGTGTATACGGAATGAATTCCAATAACATTATCACTTGATAAGACACTGGAGGTGTTGAAACAAAATGGCTATTTTTGTAGTGATTTAATAACATATTTATGTTATAATTTTTTTAAATAAATAATTATATATATATATATATATATAGAAGTGAACATTGAAGTCAACACTCAGTGGCAACAGGCTGTTTCATACTGGACGCAATCGTTTATATTTACATACGCTCTACCTCTGATATTGAGCACTTTATCCCATAAATAAAGCACACCTTAAAACTTTATTTCTTCATATATATATATATATATATATATATATATATATATATATATATATATATATATGTAAGAACAATAAAATCAAAAGGAAAACTTAACCGGTGTGTTTCGTCCTCTGTGGGTCTTTATCAAGCATTTTGTAACAAGTATTTATATACAGGAGCAAAAATGTTATTGATTTTTCAAAGTTCTTGAATTAGGAACGTTTATAAATATTCATAAAGTTAGCTGAACATAAATGTTTTTCATTCATTTTCCTTCTATCTTTATAGTCGTAAATATACATTTTCTCTTTTTTGTTAGCTATCTTGTTCTTTCTATACATATATAAAGAAGCATCCAAATATCGAATTCATTTCTTTTTGAAATCTTTCACCTGCACCTGTACCAAGTATTAACCGCATCCATTGCAGTCCTTATCACCATCCGACACAATAATTTCGATCACGTCCTGTGACGACCTGATGACCAACCCACCAGAGTCATTTACCAGTTTGACCCGCTATCTGCAAACTGGAGACGACCTCGCATCAGACTACGCAGCCGCTGGAAGGACGTCGTTTACCAGGACCTCCAGCAGATTAATCCGACGCTGGAGGATGATCTGACGGTCTGCTAACACTGCGAGAGCTGGAGGGACAAGGTGTCTATAGTGGGCTCAACGCCTTTATAGCATGAGATTTAGCAGTAGCAGCTGTATCCATGTATTCATTGAAATTCTAAGAGCGTAACTCATTAAATATAGTTAGGGAAAACGACTTTTACACGAGTATATTGGGTGATTATTTATCGTAGACGTCTCCATTTTTTTAATGAAGTTTCAAAAGAGCAGGCAAAAATAGTAAATTCATTATAAATAAAACCTCACCTCTTGCCAACAATTCAGAAGATCCTGTTGGAAAAGAAAAGCAAAATATATCATTGGCGAAGAAGTTATGCATATACATGAGTTTATGAATATTCATAAGTTTATGAATATTCATAAGTTTACATGTGACAGCTACCTTCAAATAGACATACATTTCATTAATTTATAAATATTTTCTTGAGGTGCTCCGCCGTACAGTATTTATTTCCAATAGATTATTTATATCCTAGTGATACTGATTTGAACTAAGAGTTATTATATAATCTATATAATGTAATTATTAGGAAAATTAATGACAAAGTGGGAAAAAACTGTTTTGCGACGCGTTTTATCCTTTAGAACTTCAGTGGACTAAAGTTTTGCTTACGTTGACGTAAATAAACATGCGCCCGAAGGCTAAGAGACGCTGAAATTTTAAAGCTTTAATTTTTTTTTTACATGTGTTTTTTTATATATAGTCTAGCCAACTTAGTTTCTTTTTGCTTTTGTTTATGTCTGTATCACTTTTGTTATTAAGTAACCCAGATTGTGATAGAAGATTTGGCAAGAAACGTAAAATGCTTGAAGCATCTGGGTATAAACTTACTGTGTATGATCGAGCAATTAAATTACTTTCTATAAACTTTCGTTTTAGGAAATTGTTTTCTCTTTTAATTAAAGCAGCATTTTTTAAATCGAATTTTTTCCCTTTTGTCATTAATTTTCATAACATTGTTCTAGTATATAAAATATTATATATCATTTTCACCCGTATTATAATTATATAATACTGATTCGAACTTAGAATAATTATATTGTGATGATACTTATCCGAACTAACAAACCTATAATATCGGATTTGTATATTAATTTTTATACTTAATACCGGATTTTCAGGGAGCATTAATGGATTATCTAAGTTCAACTTAATCTGGAATATAATAAAAATAAATAGAATTTGGTAGGTTTGATTTGGTTTGTTTTGTTTCACGGCATATCAATCTCAATGGGATTATTTAATGACGACAAGATTTTTATTGCTGGTAAGCTTTTTCCTTCAAAAATGTATTGCTGGTAATATTTTTTTTTCTTCAAAAATGTATTGCTGGTAATAATGTATTGCTGGTAATAATTATTTAAAAATGTATTACTGGTAATATTTTTTTCTTCAAAAATGTATTGCTGGTTATAATTTTTCCCCTCAAAATTCATTGTTGGTATTAAAACCTATTTCTACACTTTCATAGTGTTTTGAGCCCAGTTTTGGGGTTAACTATTTGCCCATAGTTGAGACCCTAACAGTTGCTACCACCCCGGGTCAGGGTGGACCTGGGGCCACCAGCAATTAAGAGGTGATTTCATGCTTCTCAAAACCTCCTGATCAGAGGCCTTGCTGTTGGACGTAGTTTATCGTCTTACTCAGGACGCGAATTTGGTTGGAAAGAAAAGTTGTGTTGTACCAATCTGTCAAGGAAAAAGATGCTGTTATAATGATCAGTACATTGTACCGTTCTAGGAAGTACCTATCTCCTGCCATGCTTTATGGTTACAAGAGTCAGGATTTCAATGTCAACTTAAAATCCCAGTCCCAGAACTGAAAATAAATTCTTCAGGTAACTAAAGCATTTTTTAAATGCAACGAATGCTGTAGATTAAAGACATATTGTTGAGGAATATTTGTCGAATACTCTTGGAAATATCAGTGCCTCCTCATCTATGAGGGAGTGTTGAAAACTTCTCGACTTCACCACTTCACAAAATCGGTATTTTAACGACCAAATATCAGTATTCTTTGTAAGTATTCAAGAAAACTTGTTCAACACACTCAACTGTGTTGAATAAGAAAGTAAATACATGAAATAGTAGGCACCATTAGTGGCTCTCTGCTGATTCTTACTGATCGAGTCGAGAACAATATTTCAGCAACTTTCCTATATTCGTTCATATAAGCTTGCCACTGGAGTCTTTGATCGATGTTCAAGCCCAGATGAAAGCTTGAATATTGATTGCTGATTCTCATGATTGATAAGCCCTTTCCAGATTAACGCAACACTATCTTCTCAATTCATGACCGCCTGTATACTTATAAACATGTAAAATCACCAGTGCATTCATGGTCAGTCGGTTATGTGCCATGCGTGATACACATTTAGGCGATCACATATCTTTCGATACATGACTGATGAGGCAGTTTTTTTCCCGCAGTAGGTTGCCATTTCTTTCTGCGGTAGACTAGTTGCCAAGTCTATAGAATCTGGTCTTTGCTTTAAGACTTCCTTAGAATTCTCATTATCCTTCTGTAGAACCACATTTATGTGGCTTTCAGTTTTCTCCTTATCCGTGAGTAGATTGTCCAGCATTCACTGCTATATAAGAGGATCGATATCACATAGCAATTCAGCACTCTTTTTTTGTTTCTAACGAAATGTTTCCGTTTCTCAGCACGGGTGCCTTAACTATAATCTTGTGATTTATTAAGACACGTAAAATATCAAAAGAAATTGTCTTACGTGTTCCTCGTTGGTCGAAGTTCTGTCTTGTTTGCTTGTTTTCCTTTTGCCACTAGAGGGCGGGCTGACAATATTCGCATTGACTTCAACTTCTCCACCCTTTTCCAGTAAAGTCTTTATGTGAGTCAACTGACAATAAATAAAAAAATAAATGAATAAATAAACAGAAAAAAAAAACGAAAAAGAAAGAAAACTGATGATTATATAAATATTCATGGGGTAATTTTAATTACTCCTGAAATATTTATATATTACAACGTATGTTAATTATAGTATAAGTCATAAACATGTTCAAAGAAATGCAAAAGAAAAAGAAAAACGAAAGAAATATGAAAGAAAGAACACAAAGTATAACTCTAGAGCCCATGTTTTCGTACCACTGGCATCAAATTGCCTCAATAAATATGTGTAGAGTTTACGTGTATGCGCGGCAAAAGAGAGAAAGCGAGTTGCCGATATATAGTTCCTACCTTAAATCTATTCCCATGATGCTCGCCTCGTACAGAGATATAAAGATATATTGTTTCATTTAAATTTATATCCTATCGTATCACGTGATTACATAGATAAAGGGAATAACATCGAATTTTTGCTTTATTTATTATTTTTTATAATATTTATTTATCCACGTGTGTATGTAAACGTTACAATTAAGTTGAAATATGCCAAATTCCGGACCTTACAAATATCAACATATTTGTTAGAAACAGTGAAACTTGCCGAAATAGTAGCTTTTCGCCATTGTTTGTTTTCATGTCTTTTTTTTTTATGATGTTTCCGTCGTATACTCACCGGTTATCCTCGGGAGGCTGTTGCGTTCTCGTATGTTATCGAATCTTGTTGATTGCGTTTATTTGAGGATTGGGAATTTGTCGCCCCACTTTAATCTCTGTGTTAACCACAACAACTTGTTGCACTTTGAACACGCTCACAGTTCTTAGAACATGAATATGAATTCCCGAGATCGTTTTTTGCACTTTCCCGATTAATGGCACCTCCACAAACCACTAATGTCGATGGTTTCCCCCACAAGACACTAATGTCGATGGTTACCACCAAAAAGTACTAATGTCGATGGTTCTCCCTACAAACCACTAACGTCAATGGTTCCCCCCAAACCACTAATATTGATGGTTTCCTCCATAAAGCACTAATGTCGATGGTTCCCCACCCAAACCACTAATCTTGGTGAATCCTCCCCACAAACCATTAATGTTCATGGTTCCCTCCATAAAGCACTAATGTCGACGGTCCCCCCCCGACAAAACACTAATGTAGATGGTCCCCCACCTCACAAAACACTAATGTCGGTAAATCCTCCCCCCAAACCATTAATGTTGATTGTTCCCTCCATAAGCACTAATGTCGATGGTTCCCCCTACAAACCACTAATGTCGATGGTCCCCCCCCACAAACCACTAATATCGATGGTTCCCTCCTACTAAACACTTATGTCGATGGTTCGCCACAAAGCAATAAGAGTAGACATTATTCTCGAATACAACAGATACTTATGGAGGACCAGATGGCGCAGAATGCTAGAAAAATTGTTGCTGGGAAAAAATGAATAGTAATATAATTACAAAAATCAGATAAGAAGTAATTTTTGTTCGTTTACCGATATTATTGGAGAAGTATTAAAAGGGGAGGCAAGCAAGACAGTGAATCTCATTTGCTTCTCGCCAAACTGATATTTTTAAAAGTACGTAGTCTGTCCGGAAAGTATCCATCCATTTAAATATCTCGGTTACTGAATGTAAATTTGCAACCAATCAGAAGAGTCCTTATTGTGGATGTTGAACAGACGCACTTTATTATTATTATTATTATTATTATTATTTATTTATTTACAAGATAGTCTTTGCGAGCATCAACAAAGCACAGCTTCGTAAAAATATCACACAGGACATGGCGCCTCATCATTTTGTGCCACGAAAATGATGGTGTTTATACAGACCTTCTCGATATGTCAGTGTCAATGAAAGTAAATAAACTGAATCCAGTACATGTATTACTGAATTACTTGTTCTATTTTTCTCATTACGGTTTGGTAGGGAGTGACAGGACCTGTAGATTTCATAAATCGTCTCACCTGGTGCAAGACATCTTCGATTTTTCGGTTGTCTTTCATTAAACGCTGTCTTTGTTCGGTCATCTGTCGAACCAGTTCGTTTTTCTCCACTAACCACACCTGCTGGTCTTTTAGATTGGTCTCTTGGAGATCTTGGTACTTGATTTGCAATTCGGACAGCTTCCGTCCACACTCCTCCATCTTTAGAAAATAAAAGAAAACAGAAAGCGTAATAAATATTAGATAACTGAAACTTTGATTAGAGTTACAGTTACATTTGTAGAGAGAAACTCGGCAAACATAAACTGACGACGCTTGATAACCACCATGGGTGTCCATGAAAGTATAAATATTTCAGCTTACATTAAATTCCATCTAGCAACAGTAAGGCTCAGTGTAAAGATCGAACCCACTGAGATCGAACAATGAGCTGAGAAAATGAATCCCCTAGTCATTGATTTTATGGCAGCTGCCATGAAAAGTATATTGTTCTGCGGATTAGGAATTTTGTTTTATAGGTATCTTCCAATTCCAGAGGATCTATTTGCCGCAAAGCCTAGCATTCCAAATTCCATCTTTTACCGCGGTTGGTTACTTACCGGTGGGACAAAATGCAATTACTTCAGCCATGAAACAAGCCTAAAATATTTAGGGATTTGCTAAACTAGTCTGGCACAATGACAAGCAGTTAAAGAATGTACCTTATTACAACAGTAACAATCTCTCAGGCCAGCATACTAGCCATCGCTCTATGATCAGGTAACCGTTGTTAGGTACTAAGTTTGGCACAAGGCCATAGAAAGGATCTTTTTCATTATACGAACTGGTATGCAATATATATTTTTTCGCCTTTACTGCATTTAATTATTGCAGTAAAAATGCAAATATTAAAACGAAGACCAAAGAGGAAGAAAACTATAAGTAAATAAAATAAAAAAAATATCCCTCGCTCTTCACAGATCAACCGAGTACAAAAAAAGGTTCATAACGAATAAAATTGGGTTGGTTGGTTGATTTTATTTAGCAGTATATCAAACTATGGGTTTATTTAATGCCAAAATCTAAGTATTTTGAACACAAGGCTTCAACTACAGATAAAATGTATTGTTGGTAATTTTTTTTATAAATAGGTATTGTTACTATTTTTTTTTTATTTTTTTAATGTTTATACGTTCTTTTTATAGATACAGTTATTTAAGTAAATGCTCTGTTTATAATAAATAATATTTATTATTTACTTAAATAATTGTATCTATAAAAAGAACGTATAAACATAAAAAAATGTCTTAAAATAATTGTCGGACTGTCCATTTCATAATTTTCTTTATATAAAAACGTATTGCTGGTAACCTGTCTTTGTTGAAAAAATTCAGCTATCGCAGACCCGCATGTATTGAGGTACTTATACAAATGATACCATCGCACTTTTCGAATAATGACTTGTATATGTTGATTTTAGTATATGAGAAAAATTAAAAAAATTTACTTTGACACTTTTCGGCGGTTAAAGGAAAATCATCTTTTTTACTTTAAATCCTGGTGGGGGGTTTAGACGATGAATTTTGGAGGGTCGTTGTTTGAATCCTATCTGGTAGACTCCCGCTTCTGATATAAAATTAGCTTATGGCCATATCACATTGTCAGTACCTGGTGTGTTTAAAATTCAATTTATATTCGCATATTCTTTTCTTTAAATTTCTGGATGATTTCGCCGATGTATTTTTAGGGGCATTGTTTAAATTCTTTTTGTCACACCCCTGCTTCTGGTGTAAAATTATATCCATCATTCTATTTCCCACGTAATTACGGTACAATCCTATAACTGTGCAGTACCCAACAAGGATTGAACTCACTACGATAGTCCCCATTAGCTAGATTACGTTTCTAATCTCTGTTCAATAGTGATGTGACCAGGTCAAATATGTACGCGTGTAAATTATGCGAGACAAACAACCAAACTCACCCCCGTAATTCGTTTTTCTAACTCTGATTTTTTCCTCTCCCAACTGATTCGTTCCGACTCAAGCCGATTCAGTAACTGTTTTTTCTCCTTTGAATGCGCCTCATCACGTGATTTGAGCTGCTGCTGCAGGTCCATTGCAAGATTGTGTGCCTCCGTTAGGAGTCTCTTCTGTTCGCTGCGTTCTTTCTCCCATAATGCTCTATTTTCTTCGTCTTTGGCGTCTGTTTTCGACTTCTGTGCATTTTGGACAAGTCGAGCTTCAAGCTGAGAGAGAGAGAGAGAAAGAGAGAAAAATATTTAAAAACAGTTTTAACAAATGTTTACTTTATTGTCCGTCAGCGAATGTTAAACGAAATATGTAATGTATTTTTCTGTCAAAGACGCATGGTAATTTTCAAGAAAGAAACACAATTCGGAAGATAGAAGAGGCAACAATACTACACCATTTCATTTTCAAAATGAAAATAGTATCAATCAAAATGAAACGAAAAATAATCTTTTAAAAAACTGGACTGGAGATGTAGTGACACTAAGAGCAGAAACAAGAAGTTACCTCTTTCATATTTTAAAACATAATGACATATTTCGGGCTTTTCGCAATAGGCTCCACGCATAACCTCCGGTTGAAATTGATTAAACACAATCTAAATATATGTTGACCAATAAAAAATGAGCGCGCCTAAAATAATTAATAACTTAATCGGAGCATCTTTCAACTTCGCTAATGATATAAAAGCACAAAAAGAGATTCCAATAGACAAAGACACAGAGAGATGAACACTTACAATACTTACAATTGAGCGAATACATCAAAGGCATCTCAGCTTCAACAACCACTACAACTCGTCACACCTTTCTCGTCATTTTCATCCCTTTTACTTCTCTCATACATTCATACATCGTTTATATTGGGCCCTATCAAGGCCCAAATCGAACAGTCACTATAGAGCAACAACGGATTTTTGTGTAAGATGCGTAAATATGCCGACTTTGGTTTTGTGTGAAAGGAGCAAGATTTGAGTGTCTTTTTTAAGTCATGAAATTTCGGTGAAAGGGGCGAAGAAATACGTTTTTGCACCCACCCCAAGTTAAACTTGTTACTCTTAGCATCCGGTTCCTGACTTTATTTTCCATCCCTTCCGTTACCATTTTTATAATTTTTTTTTCTTGCAGAGAATATCTTTATTTCCCTCTCAACTATTTTTTCTCTCTATCTTTTTCTCAGAGAGTTTTTAGTTTTTACTTGTTTAGATTGGAGACTAGAGTGACAATTCCCCCCCCCCATATGTACGGTTAGGGCAGGTCACATTCTAACCCCTTCCTTCTGTTTATTTTATTCAAATGTTGGATATTTTAGCCCCCCCGCAACACCAATTTCTGAAAATTTGATTTTTACTTGGGATTTTTTCATTTAACTTACCCCAAATAATGAAAAGTTACTTATCGCAAATGTTAATTCCCCCTACAAAATTATAAAATTATTATCTTTTTTATTAAATTTTTAGCCCTCTTTTGAAATTATGCATTTTAAATCAAAATTTGTTTAGCTTGCATCGCAAAAATTCCAACCCTCAGAAGGAAAAATTAACAAAAATCAGGGAGTTATTGACATTTTGTAAGTGCAAATGATATTCAGGGTACTTACAAGGAAATTTTACAATTAAAAAAAACATGTTTTTGGCTTGTTTATCAGTGTGAGTGTGAATGTAGACCCCCACGCTTAGAAATAGCGCACCCGAGTCGCCCATATTTGGGGCCTTCACAAAGCTCAACCCAATGGGAGTGCAATAGAGGTGTTGCGGGTGTGTGTGATGTGTGTTGGAGATGAATAGAAGGTTTGAATTATCAGAAGGTTTAAAATTGTGTGTGTTCAATAATCATCCATCCACAACAATTAATACAGGATAGAGAATAAAGATTCATAAACATCTTGTTTTCAAAACGTAACAATTGAGTTTATTAATATTTGATACATATAGAGTTGTGCCTCTTAGATTAGGTAAATATTTGTATTCGACCTCATAAAGTGAAAGTAATTATTAAATTGTAGTTTAGAAGAATAAAGTTTCTTTAGCTTGTTTGGAATTGTGTATTGTACAAGTTGGTAAAAGTTCAGAAGAGATTTCAGAGTTCGTACCTGCGTGAATGTTGATAATGGCCTTTAACGTCTGACCGCAAAGGCTAAGACAGGAGTTCTTGAAGATTACATCTTGGTACTTGGTAGCAAGGAATGAGACGCGCGAGAGATGAATGAAAAGAAACTCGAGGGAGTTTACACGTGTTCTGTTTATATATCGTCGTGAATCACGTGACTGGCTCAGATGGAAAACGCGGTAAAACAGATTTGTCGCGTGCAGGCGGTTTGATTGGTCGGAACTGACCAATCAGCAAGCTAGATTGAAGGTGATTGACCAATGAATGCTTGTTATATATTTTGTAAGATTGTGATGGTGAAAATTATAACAGGAACAGTGCATTTCCTAGCAGGGGTTAACTAGCTTATTGTGGAAGAGTCCACAGAGGGATCTCGCTTTTAGTAAATATAAATTCTTAATATTTTGGGGTGAACTAATAGAAAAGATCCATTGCTTGTTATATATTGTGTTGGGTGCTTTTTATATGATAAATAAAAACAAGAGAGAAAAGAGGTTATTTTGAAAAAATAGAATTAAAAAGTTAATATTAAGATTTGAATTTTCAAAAATACAAATATGTAAAAATTAGGTTTCATTTTATTTTCCAAAAAGAAATAAAACTGTTTACAATTCCCACATATATTAAAACTATAGCCATAAATTTTGTTATATTCCATGCTAAGGGAATACATACTTAACACTAGGTGGATAATAGAAGAAAAGTTTATTGCACACAACCAGTACAATATGAAATACGGTACAGTTATACACAACAGGTCAATCTAGTAGTGAGTGCCACTAATTGGAAGGTCGGACGTGCTTGCGTCGTCTCTCTCTCACTCATCTCACGTCTACCCCCTCTCTCGTAGACAGTCGACATTATAGGTACTTACTACCTATAGTATAATCATTCGTGGGGGTGCCGGGTTATTCCATTACAGTTGTGCACAGCTTCTTTCTGTTACGGTCACTTGCTGATTAATTTGAGTAAGGGCGAAGAGAAAAAACAAATGAGTTATGCTCGAAACAGGGCAAAAGTTGAAAAATCTTCACTTGGTTGGGGAATGAAGGCCGGAGTGTACAACGGCTGAAACATTGTGATGATAACAACAACAAAGATGAGGACAGTAGTTCGCATATAAATAATGCAAATAATGTTGCCTTCAACTTGGGACATACGTGCATTAATTCAATTGTATTCTCAGGTACCAATGTGACACTACTGGAAAGGCGCTAGTAAATTGGAAAAAAATCTAGAAGACAGAAAAACACTAATTTCCGATAGACTAAAGATATACTGATGACCAAACGAGGGAAAATGAAAAAAAAGCATATTTGTTTTTTAATGGGGGAAAAAAAACTAGAAGGTAATTAAATTTCTTGTCAGCTGGGAGGGAAAATAAAGAGTCTATCTGATTTCGGATAGGACCGAGATCAAGTGATAGGATATTCTTGGAGGTGCAAGGACCTTCCAGAAAGAAACAGATAATATTTTTACGACCATTGAGGGACGGAGAGGAAGGCTGACGTGAGCGTGAAACTTGGGTTACAACTAGGGCCATTATTTTTCCTTTCATAGGAATTAAACTCGTCAAGCGTTTTTGTTGTCTAGATAATCTAGGCATTGAGCACTTTACTGAGTAAGTAGGTGTTTGCTTTTAAGTCTTTTACTTTTTTTTCTTATTGCTGTCCTTGTTCGAGATTTTATTATGTTTAAAGGTATTTAGGTCTTTTTATAAGTGTTCCGTTGGTTCCACCAACGGTTTTGATTTTCTTTATATATATATATATATATATATATATATATATATATATATATATATATATATATGTGTGTGTGTGTGTGTGTGTGCAAATATATAGAAAAAATAGGAAAGAACACGTTAGGTTAATAATCCGAAGTTCTTTAGTTTTTTTGTTTTTATTTTTAAAAAACAGTGCTCAATACATAAGTAAACCCTAAATTATAATTATTTTTTAAAAATATGATTCCATCACTACATAAGAGTTTCTCATGTTTCAAAAACAGGAACTAAAAGATGAAGCAGAGCTTGAAGATGAAACAGCTTGATACTTTAAATCAATTTATTTTTTATAATTAAATTGAAGCTTTTAGCTGCTGTTTTTGAAACATGAGAACTCTTATATAGCGATGGAATCATGTTCTTAAAAAAGAATTATATCTATATATATTATCTAACCATTTGCTTTGCGGGGTGGAGGATTATTAAGGAAACTGAAAAATAAAAATAACAAATAAAAAGAAGCAAATAATCTGCCAGACAAACATTCACAACATGACATTCCAGAATCCGGACGCTACTTTTGACTCACTCTGTATCTACGGATATATATATATATATATATATATATATATATATATATATATATATATATATATATATATGGAGGACTGTCTCTGAAAATTCTGTGATGCTCTGGCAAGAAAGCCACACGCCACTTCCCTTCAGAGTTTACAGATAAAAAAAAAATGAAGACTTCTGAGAATCGAAAATTGCTTACCCGATTATTATGTGTTTGGATTTCCGAACGTTCGATCTCCCAAGTTGCCTTTTCAGTTGCGAATTTGTTACTCTGTTCATTCAACATTCGGTCCTTATCTTCTACTTGCAGCTGAAGGTCTTCGATTTTACTTTTCAGTTGAGAAACCTGGTTCTGACCTGCTTCGGCCTGCAAATCAACAATTTATGAGAAGGTTATAAATTAAAGCTCTTTAAACACACACGCACACACAAGAAGTTTTAACCAACAAATTCTTGTCTACCAAACTGTCAACACCCAATTCTTGATAATGACGGAGATAGCCGAAAATACTAGAACAAAATATGAACTTCGGACAGTTTATCTCCAATCTCGATTTACAATATCGTCTTTGAAAATGAGAAAAAATACAATAAAAATGACAGACATTTTTGTCTGAATGTAAGTCAACTTGTTTGAATGAATTCCTGAGAGTGTTGGATGATACATCTGTGACACTATGATTGGGGTACCCACATAGAAGAGTGTGGTGTGTGATTATATCTCAGATGACTACCGATAAAATCTTTGAAGTGGAGTCTATTCTTGACTAAAAGAAAATAAGCGATAAATAAATTAAATCTTTTCGAAACAAGTGACAACAAACCGGACGTTAAAGACATCCGGTCGCAGGTTTATATTACCAGTAACATTTGGGATTGAGAGAAGTTGTAGATCGTCCTTGGCGGCGATCTGTCTTTCAAATAGTACTGGGCTGCCTGTTACCGGGAGAAGAGAGACCATCGAGGTATTTCCAACACCGCACATTGGAGTCGTAATCTTGAAATGAGCATACAGGTGGTAGGAGAGTTAAAGTTCATACTGGTTGAAGAGAAAAGCTAATTTGTTAGCCTGAAGTGGCAGAAGTCCCTCAATATTATATTTGTAGCTATGATTTCAATGCGAATCAAACATTTTCCCTGTATAATGCGAACTACGCAATTAATATTAACCAGTGCATTGGAAATTTGTTGAGAAATAAATTTATTTACACTATTTACACCGTTCGGACTGTTGTCCTCAACTTTATTACCATATTCACGGCGTTTCGGCCATTGCACGCTCCGACCTTCTTCAGGTGATATATTGTTGGAATGTTGAACCGAACCCTTTATTTAGTTCACGGGGTGGGTAGATTGTTCTAATTCCACATGCTATGCTTTTTTGGACATCTCAGTATTAGTTAATTCTCTAAATAATAACTGAACTCTCCAAGTTTTTGTTTCATCTGCTGTGGCCAGGTATTGAACTTACAACTTTTTGGGTCAAGTCACTTTTTAGATTGCTCAACCAACGCTTTTATCCACTCCTTAACTAAAACTGTAATATCCAAAATGGCATGGCACGTGGAATTAGAACAATCTAACCCAGCGGGCTAGATAAAGAGTTCGGTTCGAAATTCCAACGTATACTATATGAAGAAAGTCGGAGCGTACAACGGCCGAAACGTCATGAATATGGCAATAAACATGAGGACAATAGTCCGAACGATGTAAATAGCGTAAATAGTTACAATACATCATCTCAAAAATATAGACAGATATAAATCTATTTATCTGGAAAGAAATATTTTGTTCATTACTATTAGGTTATGGAATTATTGATATAATAACGTATATATGCAAATATAGCAATGCATTTTACATACATGCACCTACGTCATATTTATACACATAAATCTATGTCACATTTAAAGTCAGAAATCTATTAATCGTTGCAACAAGGATGTCTGCAATTGCGAAAAACGTATTTATCACAAAATTATGTTAATTCTCTTGATTTTGCCACTGTTTATTTATACAAGCATTAGAACAAACATGAATACTGAATGATAAACGCCATATTGACAAATAACTCTATAGCGTTGCAAGGGAGATAACTCTATTTATCTCCTTTTAGCTTGTTTCAAAATTTACAAATATAGCAGACAAAAATATGAAAATACACAAAACTTAATATATACAAAGATTATATAAGTAACGTGTATTCCTAAGGAGTAAAGTCCGTATTACTTATCCCATGAAATTTATGCCGTAAAAAAATTAGAAATATGTTTATTGTTTAACACTTTATTTTGTCTAATTATATTGCACAGCACTTTAGGGAGACTCAGTGAATTTATAACTAATGTAATGAACATTTGAAACTAGTATTCGCCTTTGAAAATCTGAACTTCTGATCAAATCTGCCAGTTTAAGATTGTGGAAACATTCTCTTGGGAGACTATTCCACAGGGTAGTGGTTCGCGGAAGAAGCTGTTCGAGTGGAACTTGCTTCTCGCCGATGGAATACGGAGGGAATGTGGGTGGTTTGATACTATGTAAGTGGCATGACGGGTCCTAGCCGTGAAGGTTGGCTCTGGCGGAACCAAGGAATGTAGTTCCTTCGACCACTTTCCATGGCAGTAGCGATAGAGCAGTGAGAGGCTCGTCACATTCCGCCTGTGTGTGTGTGTGTGTGTGTGTGTGTGTGTGAGAGAGAGAGAGAGAGAGAGAGAGAGAGGCTGGAGGGTGGAGATTAATTCTTCTGCAACAAAGAATCAGAGACGCGTTTGAGCTCTATCAAAACTGGAAAGGCTTTGTTTGGTTTGTTTTACAGCATATCAACCTCAATGGGTTATTTAATGCCAACAAGATTTTTATTGCTGGTAATATTTTTTTTACAAAGTATTTCTGGTATTAAAACTTATTTTTACACTATCATAGTGTTTTGACCTCAGTTTGGGGTTTAACTATTTGCCCATAGCTGAGACCTATCAGGTGCTACCACTCCAGGTCAGGCTGAACCTGGGAACACCAGCAATTAAGAGGTTGTTCTACAAGTCTCAAAACCTGATCAAAGGCCTTGCTGTTGGATGTAGTTTATCGTCTTACCCAGGACGAAGACTGGAAAGTGAGGACTGGGAAACTCCCGCTCAAATATGACAACAATTATTTTATTTTCGGCTTGATAAGTGTACGGTAACAACGTTGTCAAGAGGAAAATCGCGTTTTTGAAAAAAATATTTTTTGGCGGATAAGAATGTTAAACTTTGACTAAGAAATTTTGTAAACGGAAAATGTATGTATATTGTCGGAAGATTTTAACTCACCTCGTTGGCCTTTTGTTCAAATTGTTCCTTATCAGTCTTCCATCTTGATTTCTCTTGTGTGTATTTATCTTTCAAGTTGCTCATTCCACGCTGTACACCTTTAATGATTTCCTGTTGTAGCTCTTTCTCCCTGGATACCCGCTCCGAGTTGATCAGCAATTGGTTGTAATCCCTCTGTATCTTCTCTAGTTTGGTTTCGTAGCGTACTTTCATTGCAAGTTGTTCTGACTTGCGCATTCTTTCCTGTTGTTGCAATTGAAACGCCAACGTCGCCTGATGGACAAAAAATAAAAATAAAATAATTTATGCAGAGCAGCATGGAAAGCGCACCAGATATAAATCATATTTTTCTAACTCGAGCATCATTTTCTCATAGCCTTGGCATATATATATATATATATATTCTCATGCAATCCGATACTCAAAGTGATCAATTGATAATGTAAAACTTCACAGAGAATTCGAAGAAAACAAACAGTAAATACTGCAGGCAAAAATACATGGACATAGTTAAATTAAGAACATTCTAATCATACAGAAAAAAAAACGACACTCACTTGAAAAAGCAAATAATGTAGGAGATACCAGGTAAAACAACACTCTTCGCCTTCGTTCACACCTGCCTCTTCATCCGCTATAGCCAACAGTAATCACTTTTTCCAGCAATACAAACGTGATAGTTTTGATGACAACAAATGCCTCTTTGTGACCGCTCGTAATAACTGTAAACCTCAAAAAGTTTAAATCTTTCTTTTCTGACAGAATGAGGCACCATATTGTTTCTAAAAAGTTTAATTCTCTGTTATAGAGTGTAAAATAAGAGTAACTCTTTTATCTTTCTTATCTTCACTCGATTTGAGGTGGTATCATATTTCACTGATAAAGCAGAATGCTTTGTTTGTAAATTCTCTTCCGATTCTACTGTTGTCTCATCTGGAGTATCTTTGTCTGACTTTCCACTTAGAACTGAATCCCTACTGTGTGATATGCATATAACACCATTCACGATTTCTGCTATCATCTCTACTCTGTAAGATGTCATGTTTGTATTCCTGCAATAGTCTTAAATAAACGTGCTCCCAAACTGGCCCCTGTTCTCTCTAAGATTTACAATAAATGTCATGCTACTTGTTGCTTTCCTGCTTGTTGGAAATCCTCGACTTAAGAGCTCAGGCGAACTGTCTGATCTTTCTATTCACCTATTAATCTTCTGTTTCAGGCAATGTCATAAAGGCTCTAATCAACTCTGAATTGATTATTTACATCATTGCGATTGTTGTCCTCATCTTCATTGTCATATTCATAACGTTTCAACCGTTGTACGCTTCAGCCTTCTTCAGGTGATTGGAATTTCGAACCGAACTCTTTATTTCGTCCAACGGGTTTGATTGTTCTATTTCCACGTGTCATGCCTTTTCCGGATGTCTCAGTTATTTCCCTTTAACTCGACTCTCCAAGCTTTTTGGTTCATCACTGCTGTGGCCTGGTATTGAACTCACAACTCTTTGGGTCTAGTCACTGGATCTAACCAACGTCTTTATCCACTGTGCCATGTGTCCTTGATACAATCACCTGAAGATGGTCGGAGCATATAACGGCCGAAACTTTGTGAATATGGCAATGAAGATGAGGATAACAGCCTAGTCTAGGTTAATTGCTGATGTGTTAAATGGTATTGCTAAAAAAGTCTGTTCAGTTTTAGATAAGCATGGCGAAGCTCGGTCTGTTGCATTCTATATCTCGAAGGTGTTTGACAGGGTTTGGCATGTGTTGAATATTGGTTAACTGCAAATGGTTTGACACGCAGGTAGACTGGTGTAGTCACTCAAAATGGAAATAACCCCCACTGAGTGATTTAATGGAGAGATATATGAATGAATAGAGTTCACTCATGCAAATGTGTTGCGCAGGTCCATTATAGTAAAGTGAACTTTACTATAATTACTATTAGGTACTTTCCTATAAATGAGGTAGATTAGCTGGCCTGCCTTTCTACAAGGAGACACAAGGAGGCAGCCATGTTAGAAAGTAAGTTATCTGACTTCTACATCTCCGTCCTCTTCCCATTGCGGGAGCGTAGTGGTCTCTGGAGAGGAATAAGTTCCTTATTGCCTGGCCGATTGTATTGGAGTAATCGGGAATCCTGGTTCTTGATGGCGGTGATTGAGCAGGGCCCTGCGGTGCCAGGTCGCTTCACAATGTAATGCCGCCATTTCCAGATTTCTCGTCAGATTGATGTGGTCTACATATATCCGTGATCGTCGGTCCAAGGGACACAGGCAAGTCACTTGGGATAGGGGTCTTGATTACAGGTGGCTCAAATTTCCCCAGGAATCTACGGTTCCGCAGGGTTATTCTACCTGATCTTGCAACTCTAATCCTATATTGACGGTTGGGGAAGCGTCTCTACTATTCGTCCAGCTATGTATCCCATCGATGGCTATTTGGGTTTTGAATGGAAACTGTCTCGCCCTCACGAAGCGAGGCGAGGGCATGTGCAGTACGATTGTACCTCTCGATGAGCCCTGCGTTGCGTTTGGATAATGTCTTTTTACGTCTTTGGGCTGCAGCTATCCACTCATAGTGTGGCTTATATAAGTGTGGGTGCGATGGGATAAAATCCCGAAGACGTCTATGAAGCAGGAGTTGTACTGGTGATAAGCTAATCCCTTGGATAGGGGTGTTTCTATATTGCAGGATCGCTTGTGCTGTCATATCACCGTCCAAAGAATCTTGGTGTCCTTTATGAGTGTTTTTGCAGTCTTGACTGCTAACTCTGCTCACCCGTTAGACTGGGGATAGGCCACTGATGAAATCCTCTGAGTGGCTCATGGTCAGTCACCACTATAACGTTTGGGCAACCCAGTATGAACATATGGTACTTTTCGAGCACCCGGCTGATAGCTGCCGTTTTGCCTTCTATGGGTGCATATCTTTGTTGATCTTTTTTTACAAATTGAAAGGTTATGGCATTTCTGCCCGAATTTTTTATTCGATTCAATCTTTCTTATCTAATCACGGAATGAAAATTGTCTTGAACGACTTCTCTTCCAGATCTTATTGTATTAATGCTGGTGTATCCCCAGGGCTCTGTTCTTGGATTTATGTTGTTCCTACGTTTTTCTCAACGTCCTTACTGGTCTCATCAGTTCTCAACTCAGTAATTATGTTGATGATGATATTTACTCCTGTCTTAATGGTAAGTCTGATCGGTACGATCAGCTCAAATTAGAAGTTTATCTAAAAAATGACTGTCAATCTGTTAGTAACAGGCACAAGAAATGGCTTGTTCATTTTAACGCCCCCAAAATGAAACTGCTTTCTTTTAATCGTCTTAGTGAACATTTTTCCCTCCCCATTATCATGACCGACGCTAACCTCCAGGAGAGTGACTCATTGTGTTTTCTTGGTTTAACGTTTTCTGCTGACATGAAGTGGAATAATTATATTGAATCAATTGCTAGGTCTTTTTTTAAAAAATCATTTCACCTCGTGCAAGGCAGTAAAGCCACTAAGACACTGGGTGGGAAAGAATAAGAAAAAAAGAGAAACATTTTTAAGGAATGAGAACAAGAAAAGAGTAATCAAGAAGACGGAAGATAACAATTAACATTATTTACATTATTTGGATTATTGTCCTAATCTTTGTTGCCATATTTATCACAACGTTTCAACAAAATGAGCTTTGGTAAAAATGATACGGAGACATTAGTAAAGTTCCAGAAATTCATATAAGGACACATGACCTAGTGGATAAAAGCGTTGATTGAAGCCAGTGATTTAACCCAAAGAGTTGTGAGTTCAATGCAGAAGTGAACAAAAAACTTGGAAAGTTGAGTTAAAAAGAAGATATCAGATACTGAGACATACGAAAGAGGCATGGCACGCGGAACTAGAACAATCTACCCTGGTGGACGAAATAAAGGGTTCATTTCGAAATTCCAATCAAGTGCAGAAGGCCGGAGCATAAAACAGCCAAAACGTCGTGAATATGACAACGAAGATGAGGACAACAGTCCGAATAATGTAATTACAATACCTCATCTTAGAAATATAGGCAGATGGTGTGTATTTTGACGTTTAATTTAAAAAAAATGAAGTCCTTCTTGCACGATTTAAATGTAGAGATAAAAATGTTAAATTTCTCATGGAGAAAATATAAATTCAATTGCTGAATTATTTAAATATCGTACGTATAAATTAAATTTCTTATATTCAATGTCTGGAAACACAGCAAATATTATAGAGAAGGAATTGTATTAATTATTGCCATTTTTCCATAATAATTGTTACATTTACTGTACGAAATGTGTATGCAAATGTAAAAGTATTATGGGATGAAATTATATTTATATCAATGAAAATTATTTTTTTTATCTCTCCGTCTATTAAATTCGAATTTGCATGTAGCCCTGCAGGTTTCAAATCGAAATTCCCTGAAGGTTACCCGAATCGACAAACTCCTGAAGAAGGCGGGAGAGTACAACGGTAGAAACGTTATGATCACAATCACGACCACGTAGGTACACCTCATGTACTGCAGCTGTAGCAACAGTGATGTGTCTTGGGCAAGAGGCCTGACAGAGCTCAACCCTCTTCAGGGTCAGTTTTGAGCCCAACTCTCTTCAGGTTGGTTTTGAATCCAGAGTTCCTTCTCCTAGACCAGTTGTCATCCAAGTCTATAGGACCCAGTTTATCCTTCTATTTACCCATAGCTGGTGTGTGGGGGGCGGGGAGAGAAGAGATGGATTCATACCTTTTCCAAGGGTATTAGCACGTAAGTGAATGTAATGAAATCAATTGGAATTCGAACTCGGCTCTCCGATTCCTTAATCCGAGCCGCTATCCATTAACTCCATCATACCTCTTCGTTGTGATAATAACAACAAAGATTGGGAGAAAAGTCCGCGTGTAAATAACATAAATAAGTCGGGGCTTAAGAAACACTTTCAGGACTAAGTCGTCCCTCGGGAAGTCCTATAGCATCCATGCGTTTCTTCCTCGTGTTGCTTACTTGTGTCTTTATAGAGTGTTCGGTTGCGCCTATACGAGGAGCCATAAGACTGTGTGTTCCCACCGTTTCCACATGACTCGGAATAATAATTTCATTGTCCAGTATGAAGGATCTTTTTGCATGACAACATTGCAGTTCAATGCCAAATCTAATCTGTTAGATTCTTCCACTGACCTAATCCAACATCGTGCTATCGATGTTTTCAGCGTAACTCTTGAAGGCATGGCTTCCGGATGCTATGCCTTGTCAAATGCGAAACCAGTGATTTGGCCGTTGCCGACTTGAATTTAGAGTCGTCTTTCTCCTAGACTAGATTAGAGAGTACAGACATCCCAGTTATGGGTTAAATAGTAAGATAGACGAGATGGGTTTATAGATTTGCCAAGACTGCATGTAACTGAATATAACAAACACGACTGGAATTCGAACTCGACTCTCGGACTTCTCATTTCGAGCCGCTATCCAGTACACCACCCGCTCTGTAGAGAGAGAGAGAGAGAGAGAGAGAGAGAGAGAGAGAGAGAGAGAGAGAGAGAGAAACAATAAAATTAGAAAAAAAAAAAAACTCACCTGGGATTCTAAGTTGCTAATTTCCTGTTGTTGATTTTTACTCCGGGTGACCAGTTCCTCGACTTGTTTTTTCTTTGCTTCCAGGGCGTTACCGATTTCAGCCTGGGCATCCAGCAGCTTCTGTTTCTCGTCTAATTCTTGACGTAAGTTCCTGATCTCGTGATTCAACCTACTTTTCTCTTCAATCATATTCTGGTTATCCTGACGTAGGACTCGCATCGAGTCTTTTTCGTTCATCATGGCCGTCTTGGTGACGTTGGTCAACCTCTCATTCAAGGTCCGGATCTTTGATTGCAATACGTTCTTCTCCTCGTTCCATTTTGTCTCTTTATCGTTGAGCGTGTTCCGAAGGAGACTCATATCACGACACAATGTCTCCTTGTCGTCTGTCAACCGCTGAACCGACTGCAAAAGCTCAGTGAATTTATTCTTTAGCGCGTAATTCTCTTTCTGTTCGTCTGTCTCGCTCTGAGGGCGCATGCTCTCAACTTCAGTGACGTGAGTGCGTAGACGCTTTAACTCCTCTTCTTTCTGAGTCAGTCTCGTTATGGAGTCGCGTACGGCGTTGTCCAAGTTTTTCACCTCGTCGTGCTTTTTGTCAATGCTTATATTCAACTTTTGCAGCATGTCGTCTTTTTCTCGTAATCTCTCGTCTCTTTGTCTTAATGATTCCCTCAACTTTTTAACATTCTCGTCTTGCGAGGCCAATTGGGCAAGGAGAGTCTGGAAATCGTTGTCGCGTTGTTTGGCGATTTCTTCCAGTTCCTTGATCACTTCGTCCCGTGTGGTTATGGCGCCTTCTTTCGCTTTGATGATCCGCTCCTTTTCGTTGAGTGACGCTGATTTGACTTGAACAGTTTTTTGTAGTTTGAGTAGAATATCTTCCTTTGATCTTAGATCGAGGATTTTACTTTTAAGACGAATTTCTAGGCTTGATTTTTCTTTTTCGGATGCAGCACTTTTCGATCGCCAAATTTCATTAAGCTGAAATAAAATAGAAATATATAAACAATATATATTGTGTATATTTAGGCAGCATATATTCGTTCAAACAGGTTTGGTTAAATAATTTAGACATATCATATCGATTAGCTTTCGTTGGGATCCTTTCAAGTTCGTGGATCAATTTCTTGGTAGCCTTAGAAAATTGATTAAGAAAAATACCTAAATTTTCTTTCAAATAGTTTTTATTTTTCCAAGTACTTTCAATCTCATCTGAGACCATCTTCAGGCGGTTAACTTGTCTGTGAATATGTATACGTGTTTCTATAAATTCAAAACATTTCAACTGTTCGTTTTTACTGCTTATACAGCGTTTGAGATTTAGAAGTTCAAAGTTCACGAGTTTTTGCTTTTTTTTTCCAGTATAAGGGAAGTAACTTTTCCATTTTTGCTGATACATATAAAATTATTTATTTAATTGGTTCTTGCTTAATGGAGATAACTAATTTGCATATTACATAAAACTGAAACATCAAATAAATACAGTTTTATTATTTATATCTAACAGCTTGTGTCTTATATCTTACCCAAATATGCGTTTTTTTTTTTTTCTTAAAGACTTAGGAAAGACTTAGTTTACATATCCAGCATTAATAATCAAAATTTTAAAAAATAACTTTTTTGTTATTAATTTCTGACTTGGTTTTTTGCGATCATTATAAATAAACGATTTTGTTGATGGCTAAATAATTTTAAAAAATTATTTAGTTTTTCAAATAAAACCATTTTCGGCCTGGAAAACAACCTAAGTATTTAGATCACAACTTGTGGCCATAGGGAATATATAAAATGAAGGAAGCAATGTTTAAATTTTAAATAGTATAGTTTGAAAACGTGATTAATTTAAATTTTCAATTTTTAAGTTGTAAAAAAATAAAATCAATCGCTTTATTAAGATATTGGTGTTATGTTATAAGAGGACTGATATTACATAAATATAAAAGTTAAGTACTCTTTTCTCTGTTTCTAACAATATTTTCCTGTTTTTTAATACTTTGCTTACCTTTTGGTAGGTCTCTTTTTCCATCCCAATTGTCTTCGGATTTCGGTGTTGCACTTTTTGTCCCCTGTTAAAACACTTCCCAGCTATTTAAATGGTTGTACTTGTTTGATTTTGGTACCTCCGATTTGTAATTTGGATGCTGAGCTGTTTCTTTTGCTAACAACCATTCATTGAAAAACTTACATTTTCAATATTTTATTCTTGTCAATTTTTCTTTATTAGAAGAAAAGAATAAAAAACCTACCTCTTCAACTTTGCACTCTAATTCCTCAGCTTGCATTTTGTATTTATTGCACTGTTTCTTAAGTTCTTCGATATTCTCTTTGTATCCGTCGATCTAAGAGACCAAAACAAGGGAGATAACTATTCAACATTCAAGCAACATGTTCTTAAATAAATTAAGAGCCACAGAAAAAAAAAAGAAAAGAAAAGAAAGAAAAAAAAACCCAAAATCTATTCTGCAATATCAAACGCAGTTAAGTTTAACAAACGTACACTATTTACATTATTCGGACTATTGTCCTTATCTTTGTCGCCATATTTATTACAACGTTTCGGTCGTTGTACGCTCCGGCCTCCTTCAGGTGGTTGGAATGTTGAACTGAACCCTTTATTTCACTCACTGTTCTAGTTCCACGTGTCATGTCTAATGGATGTCAGTTATCAGTTATCTCCTGTTAATTCCCTTCTCCAAGTTCTCCACTGCCTTAACCGGGTATTGAACGAATACTCTTTCGGTCGTGTCTCTGGATCTAACCAACACCTATATCCACTGTGCCATGTGTCCTTAAGGAAGAAGGCCGGAGCGTACAACGGCCGAAACGTTGTAATAAATATGGCGACAAAGATGAGGACTATAGTCCGAATAATGTAAATAGTGTACATTATATCTTATCTCAGAAATATAGACAGATACTTTAACAAACGTACCTGCAAAAAATGATGTTATAAGGCCGATTTTTCTCTTGACATTGACATTTAGTCCATTATTAAACTTTCTCAAATTATTCCAGTAAATAAAAAATCTAATAAATAAATAATGTTTAAATCTCGAGAATAATGAATATGCTTTCAACCAATTTTAATGAATATATGTGGCGTGAGAAAATGAAAGAAAATGCCGGAAAGGATATTTTTTTCAAAATTTATAATTAATTACTCGACGTAATGTGTTTATTTAAATTTTCTTCACTTTTTTACAGACATTTTTATAAATTTATGAATAAAGAATTTTGTTTTCTTAGTTATTTCTTTAAGAAAATGGTAAATAGTTGGTTCATCTATTTTTATAATCTTACAAGTTTGGTAGTTTTCCATGTCGACAATATGAGATAACGATATATATATTTATATATCAAGTACAATATTGGGGAAAGATGTATGACAATGTGGAAAAAGTTTTCTTGTGACGCGTTTCATATTTTAGGACTTCATCAGACTAAATAAACTTCACGAACATAACAAATTTAGTCCGATAAAGTCGTAATGGACGAAACGCGTCACAACAAAACTTTTTCCACCCTGTCATAGATTTTCCCCAAACTTACAAGTATCAAATTATTCTTGTAAATAAAAAATCTAATAAGGAAATAGTGTTTAACATTTTTATCGTCATTCCACGTGAAAAAAAAAGCAAAAATCCAGTTTCATATGTTTGTTTTTTTATTAAAATTGTAAAAATGGCCTTTTAAAATAATACATATTACCGAGTTCACAGTAATAGCAGTGTCAAAAGAAAAACCGCCCTTTTGACACGCCGTTTTTGTTCGGGTACATTTGTTAAAATGTTCCGTTGTTATGGTAACAGAAGGTCTTACTTGACGCCAATAAGCGAAAACATTTCGTGTAATCAACAAAATAGTTCATTATTAAATAATTGAGATCAGGCTGCTAATACATTTTTATTAGATTTCATTGTAGTCTGTGATCCGCGAGAGGAAATGCCAAAGATCTGAATCGAATTTAATGTCAATGAGAAACCTTTGATCTTAGAGGTAGCGATCTGTGTTGGCCCTAATAGACACCGTGTTCACCCTAAGAGATACCAAAGTAAGATTTCTACTCGATGTCACATCAGAACATTAAAAGATCTAGGTGCCTCAAAGGTTGACATAGAAGGTGACGTCATAACCACCAAGTACAGAATCGGACCTCAAAAGATATCGGTGACTATGACGACATAAACAGGAGGTCAACCAAGCTTAACGTGGATTTACACATATAAGACAACCGGATGCCATTAAGTTTTACAACTAGCCAGTCTGCATGTGGAAAAGTAGGTTCACTCACATTCTCACGAGAAGAAGCGTGAACGTTCGAATTAAGACCGCGAAAAGCCACAATAGCCTTCATAGCCGACGTTAATTTGACGGAGAACAGAAGTATACAAACAATAATTTTATGTATGCAAAATTTAGTCTAGTGTTCTAGACGTTACTACTTCACACTTTTCGATGGAAGACAACTGAGTTAATTGTTGAGATGAATTCCAAGATTAACCATGCAGAAAATATATACACCAAGAGGAAAGATCGAAGAAAACGATATACCAGAAACGATGTTTGTTTTTTGTGTGAAACTGACCCAAGTAATCACTTTCCCAACTGACAAAGTCTCTCCGTGAAATCAGTATCACGTTCACAAACGTACTGACTATTCTCTTTTGCGTCGTGTTTTTATGCCGAGCTGATCTCGCAAAAAATTTGCATACGCCCAGCCACTCTCGCCAATTCTCCTTGTACCGAGATCGTGTCTTTCTTAAATTATGGTGTTAGAGCGGCCATATTTCTTTTTCCTTTCCTTCACTCGTTTTGCACGCCAGGCATATACGTGCTCGCTTTGGCACACGAGGTAATTCATCTCCTGTTCTATACTCCACCCTGATCTCCTGATCACATAAATAACACGGAGATGGCGATCGCTTTCGTCGAGTGCTTCTACGTAAAAGTGGACGGGATTCGCCCGTCTCTTCTCCATTTGTGCCCACTTCGTATCTCTTGTTATTGGCATCATCATCGTCGTCATCATCATTTGTTTCTTCTGGTTCTGTAGATGAATAGTCTGCACTGAAAAACAGTGGCCGTCATCTTCCGACGATGCAGATCCCTGACGCGGGCAGAGGTCTATGATATGACGTGACATTCCAATGATGAGAACGGAATGTGGGCTATATACCACTGTCACTGTTTCTTTTTTGAACTACGTCTGACATCGAACACAGATGGTCCAGACGCAGAGCCGTTAAACTCAGGAATGAGTTTGAGGTCAAACTTTCCCGCCACCATTATCGCCGGAATAACTTGTGTGAAACTGACCCAAGTAATCGCTTTCCCAACTGACAAAGTCTCTCCGTGAAAGCAGTATCACGTTCACGAAATACTGATTTTCCAAGCGTAGCTCAGATGTGGCACAAGGCCGAAAGTATGGGGCACCCAGTGAGGATCGAACTCACTTTTCAGTAGTAAATGATCTAGCAAGACAAGCTTGCTAACCATTACACCACGCCGAGGTGCCCTCGTTCACGAACGTACTGATTATTCTCTCTTGCGTCGTGTTTTTATGCCGAGCTGATCTCGCAAAAAATTTGCATAGGCCCGAACACTCTCGCCAATTCCCCTAGTTTCGAGACCGTGTCTTTTTTAAATTAAGGTGTTAGGGCGGCCAATTTTTTTTCCTTTCCTTCGCCCGTTTTGCACGCCAGGCATATACGTGCTCATTTTGCCAGACGAGGTAAGTCATCTTCTACAGTTTTAGCAAGAAAAAGAAAACATAATAAGAAAGAAAGAAGTAAAAGAAAGAAGAAGAGAAAAAGAAAGTGAAGATTGAGTGTAATGTGTGTAACGTCTGCTTCAGTGAATTATTTAGACGGGCATCCTCTTTTTAGCCAGTCCAATCTACTTGTGGTTTGTAGATGAGTTATTGATAGTATTTCATTAATTATAATTCAGCGTGCGTCTCCCTCTGCACGTCTGCAACATCCTACCATTACCTCAATACAATAATGGACTGTTCCATATCAAGGAAAGACGGAGAAAAAAGATATATCAGAGATACTATCTGGCTTTGGTGAGAAAAACAAAGCGTACAGAATAAGAAAGAAGGAAGACAGAAAAAGAAATAAAAGGGAAGAAAGAAGAAAAAAAAAAAAGAAAGAAAAAAGAAAGAAAAAAAGAAAGAATAAAGAAAAAAGAAAGAAAAAAAGAAAGAATAAACAAAAAAGAAACAGAGGTTAGCTACAGGAAGTGATAGATAACATGGCTGTATACATGCGGAACTTACAGTATGAAAACACCAATAAATTTATGTATTCGAGACATCATTGTAAAAGATGGTTCGATAATAGTTCAAGCATGTAATATGCAAAACACCTGATGATAATGGCTTCGTTTCAGAAATTCAAACAGATTTGTACTCGGCAGCTTACCTTGTACTCTAATTCTTCAGCTTTCAGTTTGTACTTGACGCAATCTTCAGTGAGGGACTGGATTTGTTCTTTATATCGAGAAATCTTTAAAACAAAACAAAACAAAACAAAAAAAATGAATAAAATGTGAGAATTTTTATATATTAGTTGAAAACCCGCTCCAGGGCGTATTATACACAAATAAATACGATATAAAGAACAAGGTTAATGCGCGTCCCCGGGACTTGCTTTGTTTTTTACCCCTATAGCACCATTTGACATATTTCTATGTAAGAGTCATTTTTTAAATCTCTACGAATCTAGGTCTCACTCTTTCTTTTTTTTTTTTCTCTCTCCCTCACACACACACACACACACACACACACACACACACACACACACACACACACACACACACACACACACACACACACACACAGAGCTTTTATTGTTATTTAGAGAAAATATTAAAAATCTCCAAAATATTATGGAAAAATATACATTTAAAAACTGTCATTCAATGAAACCGTGGAATGAGCGCACATATCCCTACACGCAAGCCGCCGATGGCAACGCTAGCGGTCCTCTAGTGGCAGACACTCGCGTGCCACTGGGTCTCTAGCGGACCGCCAGTGGTAACATTTCCGAGATGAATACGCCGGCGGTTCGATAGCGAGCCACCAGTGGTAAAGGCTATTGACATGCCACCCAGTGGCAGATTGGTGGCTTGTGTGTAAGGATGTGTAAGAGGAAATGCGCAATACGCCAAAACACACATGTGCGTCTTGTGGAAGTAAACTTGTTAACAGATACATTCCGAGGTAAAAAAAAACATTCACTCAGTGAATGTGATTATTATTATTAATATTTTTATTATTAATATAATTATTTTATTTTATTATTACCTTATTTTATTTTATTATTAATATTTTTATTATTAATATAATTAATTCTCTCAGTCTATGCGATTTTTATTATCATTATTTTTATTATTAATATAATTATTTTATTTTATTATTATTTTATTTTATTTTAATATAATTAATTCTCTCAGTCTATGTGATTTTATTACATTGACTGAGAGAATGTTAAAAAAATGTTATAAAGAAACGTCTAATACAAAATTGCATTTTGTTTCGTTATTTTTACCTCTTCTTGCAGTTTTTTACTTCGAACTTCGGGGCTACTTCGGCCTTTACCAGGGGCTCCATCTTGACCTGTTTCAATCTGAAAAAAGGAAGATATTATTAGCTTTTAAATAAAACTATTAATTTGTATAATCATAAAAAAGGGGAAAAAATAGAAATTTTCATAAAAAATATTGTTTACCATGAAGTCTTATAAAATTAGATTAAATTAAAGAAATTATTAAACTGCAAAGTAGAATTTTTTTGTCAAATTTTTTTTCCAAACAAATCGGATTATTCAACTTTCATCGATTGGTTTACGAAATTGAACGAAACGTTGAGTTTGTAAATCTCGATAAAAATGTTAGCGATAAATTCAACAATAATAAATACTGTGAGGATTTCAAGAAGTGTCAGCGTATTGCAAAAAAAAAAAAAAAAAAAATTAGTTAAAATTTTGTATATTTATAGAAGTGTGATCAGTAGCGGAGATAGGCCGTTTATAGATATAGACAGTGCGGACATAGGAATCAACACTTCTTATTGATTACCAGTTTCACGCCTTAATGCGATATTCATACCAAACCTGAAACTGACGTGAATCAACACTGCTAACACGATGACTACGTACACACACACAAACTATATATATATATATATATATATATATATATATATATGAGATAACCATATATATTTTTATATATCAGGAACAATATTGGAGAAAAATTTATGACAATTTAGAAAAAGTTTACACGTGACGCGTTTCGTCCTTTAAGACTTCATCGGAGCAAATTTGTTATGTTGATGCGACTACACATGCGCACGAACGGGGGATGCTGGGAATTGTAAACATTTTTTTTTAAATATCTTTTTTTATCTTATTTGAATGAAACGTAGAGTTTGTAAATTTCGACAAAAATGTTAGCAATAACTTCATCAATACTAAATACTGTGAGGATTTCACACGCGTCAGTGTGTTGCAAAAAATTCTAATACTTAAAGTTGATTTTTAGTAACAGGTGAAAAGATGGCAACAGGTCTTTCATTGGAATGTTTTGTCAGTCATGGATTATCTCCCTTTAGTTTTTAATTGAACAGTTTAGGGATTAGGTGTTAATGCGATCTCTTTTCAATATAGTTTAATTGGGAGAGACGAAGAACCCGGTTCAATTCTGGTTTTCAGTTGCAACAATTGATAATATTTCATGTGACATATTTGAATAGATATCCGAATTACTTTTACTTTTGAATGACGGTCATTGCCACCAGCTGAAAAGTAAAACCGGCCCGTACCGACTGAAAATGTGAGAGAGGGAGACAAACCGTCAAAGAGAGATGTATTAGAGCAGATGTTCTCAACCAGGGATAAATTTACCCCTAGGGGGTAAAAAATTATATAGTCGGGGGTAAATAATTGAAGTACCTGATAATTTAAAAAATAATTCAATTATGTTAATTTTTGGATAAAACTCACAGATTCATTCCCACTCTTTACTCAGCGTGCCTTCCAAGTGCTTGTTCCTTTTGTCACTACGTACTTATGTGAATCAGGGTCATCAAGTTTAGTAACAATAAAGACAAAGGCCAGAAACCGCCTAAAAGCCGATGATGATATGAGAGTAGCATTATCAGAAACAGCTCCTCACATAAACAAACTGATTAACTCAATGAATCAACAGTGTTCCCATTGATAATGCTTCTGGTGTTTCTGTTCATTAGTTTTTGTAATACAAATTAACTTCATAATTTTCTATTTAGAAAAGGTTTGATTTTCTTCTTTTTTTGATACGAATGTATAATACTATTTTTATACAAAACCTAAAGTCCTAAACAATAAAAAGGTTCTTTCTGACCTTCTTGTTTTTCTCTCACTTTATGACATTGATGTACAAATGAATGATGGATTACTAATTTTTTGATCAGAATACTGAATTTTTACTAATTTTTAGTATTTGTCAGTATTTTTTATTTCTGTTTGGGTATTGTTTTTTAATAATGACTAATTTGCACAATTTTTAGTCACAAATTAGTCAGTACTAATCATAATCATTCATTCAAAAAAAAATTTTTTTTAGTATTTTCCAAAATTTTTTCAAATTTCCAAAAACAAAAATACTAAAAAAAATTTTTTTTGAATGAATGATTATGATTAGTATTGATTTGTAGATCTACTAATACAGCGGATAAAATGAATAATGTTTTTTTATTAATGACTACAAACGTTAATAAAAATACTGAATGTTATACAGAGTACTAACTTATACTAAAAAATTAGTAGATTAGTACTAAATAAGAAATCGGTATTTTGAGTGTCGCTTAGTATTTTTTTTTAGGCACAGTATTTTGATTAAAAAAAACCCTTAGTATTTTGAATGAAAAAAATCATTCATTCATTTAGTCACGAAATTGTACATCAATGCTTTATGATGGCTATGAATTTTTTGTATGGGAGTAGGGGGGTAAATGGAGAAAATACATAAAGCCGAGGTGGTCAATGATGGAGGAAAGGTTGAGAATGGCTGTGTTAGAGCGTTAGTAGATTCTCTTGGATTATTTTCGATGATACTCACTTCTGATTCGAGTTTCTTGTAATCGTCTTTTAGTCGTTGATTTTCCTCTTCCAAAATCTGGAGACGTTCTCGTAAACCGCTGATTTGGTCACTGGCTATACGCATATGCTTCTGGTTTTCTAATAACTGATCAAAAGAGGAAAAGAATGACGGTAAGAAGTAGTAATAATAACAATAATAATAGTAGTAACAATAGTAATAACTCATAGTACACCTACTACAGCGACAAAGAACGCAAAACAGAAACCAAATGCAATGTACCAAATACAAAAAGTCTCTTCATGTTCAATAATCTTCCCGTACCAAGGAAGCTGATCTAGACAAACTCCGTACCCATCAGTGACTACGTAGTGCAGGGTTAAAAGCTGAAATCGAAGGTTTTATTCTTGCTGCACATGACCAATGCTTGCTAACTAGAAATTGCCAAGTACACATACGGAAAAATTGTGTTAACCCGAAATGCAGCTTCTGTGATAAATATCTAGAAACTGTTTACCATCTTCTATCAGGTTGCACAATGTTAGCATCCACTGGATATAAAACTCGGTATGATAGAATGAGCCAATATCTACAATGGAAAATCTGCAACTTTTATGGGAAGGGAACTGCAAGGAACTGGTATGAACCGGTTACAAAGATAGGACCTGTAACAATTTTATGGGACTTCACAATACACAGAGACAGAATAATCAAAGCTAATCGACCAGACATCGTTGATCAAAGACCACAAATACAGAATGGGCTTTCTTATTGATGTGGCAGTCCCTGTAGATTGTAATGTATCTTTGATTGTAATGCATCTTTTTGTATGACCATTCACCATTGTCAGTAGAATGAGCAATTGAAGCTCGTGTGGGATACGACCATCTTGACTGACAAGCGCTTGCAGAGCAATCGCCCTGATATCACACTTGTGCAAAAGAGCAGTCCTGGATGGATCCTGATAGGCATTGCGGTAACGGAATGCGGAGCAGGCGAAAATACGGAGGTACCAAGACTTGACAGGGAAAACAAGCAGCAGCTCAAGTTCTGTGGCTCGCGCATTTGGGACTATTTCCAGGAACCTTTCTGCTTCGCAAGACGCCTTGGAGATACCTGACATCATTAGGAGTGCACAGGCGGCAGCTCTACTTGGAACAGTTTTTGTCTCGAGTGCTTTCGGCCACTTCTTTAGCGATTTCAAAGGGGATTTTGAATATATATATATATATATGGATTGGGGGATTTGCTTTGGACGCTTAATACTTTTTTTGGTCTGGGAAGATAATTAAAGCTGTTTATTCGTCCAATTTTTAGATTGATCGCCATAGTCTATTCTGTTATTTTGGCGAGGATAATTTTTAATTTTTTTTATTATTTTATTTATTTATTTGGATTGATTATTTTTATTTGTTTTTGCTTATTTATGTTTATTTTTATTAGTTCTAACGGTTATTTTAGCGAGAGCGATTTGTTAAATTAAGTAAAATAAATAAATAAACGAATCACTTTGTTGGCAAGCTGCTCTATCATTTATCTATATTTATGCGTACTAAATAAAAAATAACGTTTATAGTAACAGTCTGTTTGATTATTCGTATAGAATAAAAAAAACAATTTGGAAAATTGTATTTATTAGAAAGCCCAGTGATAATTTAATTCAAGAATTTGGTAGGAGTAGAGAAGTATAAAAAAAACTCACAAAGACGCCTTTGATCAGTATATATTTCTTTTCATTTTAGTTTTCGTCAGAAAAGCAAGCAGCAGATATTGCGAAGACATACTTTCTTTTGGAAGTTTTAATTTTCTATTTGGAGCACGGTAAATGTAATCACGTGGTTTTAGACATGAGGCTAGACCCTCAAGATGGCGACATATTTGTCTTTTTTTAAAGATAACATGTGTATTTTATTTTTGGGATCGAGTTTTTTGCTTTGTTCTGTGTTGTTCAAAATACCTATTCATCCATCAATATCTTTCTTCTTGCCAAAATAGTTCGACAAAATAATATAGAAAAGAGACTTTTGTTTGGTTTAAGTGAGGGGGTGTTTTTCTATTTCAGATTTTTGTCAGGTTCGTTGTAATTTCTCGCGAATTTTTCAAAAACAACTTATTTTTTCCTTATGATGTCCATCGGCCGTTTCTGTAAGTCGGTGTATATTTCTGCTCTACGTTGTTGCGGACGTAATGCTGGTCGTGTTTGGGTCACAAAACACGTGTCTCCTGTTATAATATAACCTTAACAATAATGGCGAACTCGGAATGTGAGCCCGAATAATAAAATGAAATATAACACATAAACTATATATATACACAAACTATAAGTATGTATTAACAAAACAAAGGTATTCATAGATAACAAAATATTGTTGCGTGTTACACAACAATGAATATGAAAAAAGAAAACATTTAAACTAGTGAAGGTGTTTGTGTAGAAGTAAGTGTAACAAGCGTTTGTGATGGACACATGTGCATATATACATGTGTGTGAGAGAGTTCAAAAGTCAACAAAGGACCAAGGGAAGCGAACGCACTTCAGCGGCAGCGTTCTTATCTACGTGTGATCTACATCAGAAAGCTAGAGAAAAATAACGGAAAGAGATGATGACAGAGAATGCTACCCCCTTTGGCTTAAGGAGCCTCCCCTAGCGACGTTTTTTTTAGGAAATTAAGTGGGGTAACCCCACAACTTAACCCAGAGATTGAACTAACGACCTTGAAGGAAACAGATTATCATTGGTTCAGTATGCTACTGGGTTCGACACGCATCTAAAAAGGGTACAAAAGCCGAAACCGCATGATAAAGGCGAGAAGACAGACGTTGAACGGTTCGCAACCCGACCAAGAGGAGATTAAAATATCATTATCATTATTATACAATTTTGGGCAGTGATTCATACTGAGAATCTTTCAGCACCCCCATTCTTCTTGTATAATAGTAGCAACATATTATCTCATTATATTTTAAATTTAAAAGTAAAATTTGAAAGTTTAGTTATAAAGTAATCGAAAAATGAAATGCAACTTCGTTCCTATTTTTTCAGTAATATACATATATATAGAGGGTTGCATTAACGAAACACATATATATCTTTTACACATCTGCAGAAAAAGAAGTCCGTAGGGGTGAGATAACTTACTGTATACCTACTTTTGCAGACCCCTATATATATATATATATATATATATATATATATATATATATATATAAAAGTGAACATAGAAGTCAACACTTTGAGGCGACAGTCTGTTTCATGCTATATGCAATCGTCAGGCCACATATGCTGTTATTTTTCTCGGCTATTTATATATATACGGGGTTAGTGGTGCATTGTGGGTATTCTATTATGGTGGTTATTTTTTTACCGGAAGTCGCTTTGTTTATTTATTTGGGTCAAATTATATTGCTCGTTTTTTTTTTTTTGTTTCTTATTTTATATATTTATTTCTTAACGTAGTAAAAAATTGTTTATATCACGTATTTAACAGTTTTGTTTTGGTTTGAGAATTTAATTCAAGCTATTTGTTCAATTTTGGGGTTTGTTGTTGTAGTTCATTCTAACTATTATTTTTTTGGTGGGAACAGTTTTTAATTTGGGATTGGTTTGTCTATTTACTTGGATGAATTTAGGTCAATTTATTTGTATATTTTTCTTTTCGGTTTTTCGGTTTTTAAGCAATATAGTATTTATTTCCGAGAAAAATAACAGCATATGTGGCCTGACGATTGCATATAGCATGAAACAGACTGTCGCCTCAAAGTGTTGACTTCTATGTTCACTTTTATATTTACACACGCTCTATCTCTGATATTGAGCACTTTATCCCATAAATATAGCACACCTTAAGACTATATTTCTTTATATATATATATTAAGTGTGAATATAAACTAAATAACGAGATATTAGCAATTGTATATGTGTGCAAGAGCGTGCATACACAGATAAGTAAATAAATAATTATTGAATTTAATTTATAGTGCAAACAAAACAGTGCTCGGCGTAGTTGAACATAGCTATGAAGTATATATTAATAAATACACATATTCTTACGTTTGCAATGCAACTTAAAGTATCCTGGTTTTGCAAGTCGTCAGGCACGAATGGCGAATGGACCACTTAATACAGTTGTTTTTTTTTTTTTTTAAATACTGGGAAGGAACGTTAAATTATACGCAGATTCAAAGCACAAAATTAATATAAACTTATTATATTAATGGGGGCGTAAATTAAAAGTAAAAAAGAAATGATGCATGCGTAAAGTTTATATGATACAAGTTTTTCCCGTTAGAAAAAAACAAGTATTTGAGTAAAAAAATTATAAGGAGAAAACAATATGAATAAAAAAAAAAAACTCCCAAAAATGGTGGGAGTAGGCGTGATGAATTGTATTATAATTGTTTATAAATAATCTCTATGTTTCAAAGAAGTAACACTGCACAGTATATAAAGCTAACGTTTAATAATATTAGATTATCAAGTAAAAATCTAAAAAGTCTAGAGAAGAATAAAAAAGTAAAAGGTGAGAAAAGAAAAGAAAAAATATATAAGAAAAGAGGAACACCTTGTAGCCCGTTACATATTAATAGACGCTTAAATGGTTAAAAGGAGGTAATTGTATAACCTAAAATATGTAATGGCCAATTGATGTTTGGTTAACTTATACACACACACACATAGATAATTTCTGTCTAAATTTCTAGGTAGAGGAGTTATCATTATTTACATGCAAAATATTATCCTCATCTTTGTTGTCGTTATCACGACGTTTTCGTCATTGTGCTGTTCGGCCTTCATCAAGTGATTGTCTTGAAGGGAATTTCAAACTGAACTCTTTGCCCACATCTAGAGATACCACTAGTTCTTATTTAGTACTCCTCAGTGATTACTATAATACTGATATTTTATTGTAAGTATACAAGAAAGCCTACTTAACACATTTATTCTCGTAAAAATTAATACCTCGATAATGTGGCACAAAGGTTGCATGTAGTCAAACACATATGCAAAGTCTGTCCGGAAAGTATATCTTAAACACGTTGAAAACTCGTTGGGCGGCCTTGATGTAACTTTGCAACCAATCAGAGGGGAGCTTATGGCCCATGCATGGACAGAGGTTCTCTCGTGAGGTCATTCTGTTGTTATTGAGACGTCACCGAATGAACTCGTTTACCGTGTGAGCGTCAAATTCATCATGAAAATGTACCTGTTTACATTTCAGCAGGTTTTTTTTTTTGCAGAATATCAAGCAAACCACTTATGTGAGCCCCCTTTCTCTACAGTCAAACGCCCTTTGACATTTTGCTTTTTACAAAAAATGAGATAGGAAAAGGTAGACAAACCGTGAACGAGATCAAGAATAATGTGACGAGGCAGTTGATGATGAGAAGTACTAAGCTGCCGTTTCCCTACGTAGGCTATCCCCCCACCCCACTAATATTAAGCGAGTCATTTGGTATCTATTCTCTATTAACATTTATTAATATTAAAAACAATGTTAAATTGGTCACTTTTCATCCCAAGGTTCGAACCCATAAACTTGAACTTACCTCGTTCTGTAAAAGTTCCTTCTCTCGTAAATGGAGCTTAGCATCGTCAGCCAACCCGGTCGAGATGGTGTCTGTAGCAGTCATTCTGAGTTTCTTCTCTGCAGCCAGAACCTTTGTTCGTTCCTCGGCCAACAAACGCTCTAGGCAACCAACACGCTTCCGGAACTGGTTCTGCGTAAAATAACAAATTGTGTAAATCCAAAATTGAGATTATGTGATAAATATCCAGAAACAACTGACCAGGTTGCCCGGTATTGGCACCCACTGAATATAAATCACGGCACGACACAGTGGGCCAATATCTGCACTGGAAAATCTGAAACCCTTACGGAAAGAAAACTTCAAGAAATTGGTATGACCCCCACCAAAAAAAAAAAAAAAAAAAAAAAAAAAAAAATAACCCTGCTTACAGAGATAGGCCTTTAACAATTTTATGGGACTTTACAATACACACAGACAGAACAATTAAAGCTGATCACCCTGACATAGTGATTAGAGACCGCAAAGATAAAATGTGCCTCTTTATTGACATGACTGTCCCTGCAGACTATAATGTATCTTTCAAATTCTTCAAAAAACTATCAAAATACAAGGCCTTTGAAATGGAAATCTAAAAATGTGGCACATGAGAGCATTAATAATTCCGGTTGTAGTTAGAGCCCTCGGTTTGATTGGAAAAGGTTCCGATAGACTCAAATAAAGGGATTCTTGGTAGCCCATGCTTTAAAGAAATACAAAAAATGTACTTACAAGTACAGCTCACACATTACGAAGAAAAAAATCTATGTAAAATATGTGTGATCACAGGTTTTTTTTTTTTTTTTTTTAAGAAATGATCAGTGGAAAATGTCATGAAGCCATTTCTGACTTTAGGTCTCTGGTTGGGACCCGGAAGGAAATGTGTATACAACAGAAATCCGAGGAAATAAAAATAATAATAATAATAATAATAATAATAATAATAATAATAATAATAATAGCATCTGGAAAACTTATAACTTTTATTTTAGAAAAAAAAATACTGCAAAAAGTACGTACGAACACAATCCAGACCCGGTTACTGACATAGGGACTGCAACTATTTTATGGGGCTTTACACACAGAACTATCAAAGCTAACCGCCTAGATATAGTGATGAAAGACCAAAAGCAAAAATAAAAAGAACGTGCTTTCTTATCGACATGACAGTTCCTGTATACCTTCCGCAAGAGTATTTGTGCATAAGTGAATGTAACGAACGGGACTAGAAGTCGAACTCGCCTCTCCGTTTTTTCAATTCGATCAAATATCCATTACAACATTTCGCACTCACCATAAAAATATGAGTAATAAGAAAATAGAAAAAATAAAAAAACAACACTTTTTTCTCACCTCCCAGTCTTTATTAATAATATCATCGTCATTTTCGTGTTTGTCGCGAGTGCCCCCCGGTGATGGCGGTACAAGGAAGACGTCGTCACTGCCAACGCTTGCATCGCTTAGGGCACTTACGTTGGATGCACTCCGTTCTGAATGTGATGACGACGACTTGCACAACCGTTCCAATTCCTTCTCGGCTTCCTCGGCTCGTTCGTTGACGATATCCAGCAAGTTCGATAGAACATCGTTTTTGTCTTGCATCATTTCAATCTCGGTCAGCAGTTCCTTCTCCTTTCGGAGGTACGTGTCCTTCAGCATCGACAGTTCTTCCTTCAGATCCATCAGTTCGATGTCCAGTTTGTAGTTCTTTTCCTCGGCTTCATGGAGAGTCTTCTGTTGGTTACCTGTCAAAGAAAAGCAAATATATTTATCTCGATTTAAAAGTTAATAGAAAAAAGAAAATACAGCTCGTTCGTACTTAGAAACAGCAGTATTAAAAACAGAATTCTCAGAAGAGTGCTGGAGTATTAAGAAGACTTGCTTGTTCGTACTTCGAAAAATGCAGTGGAAATATTATATTTAATCAATTGCTACGTTTGTTACAAGGAAAGTTGGTTCCCTGTGTCGTGATAGACATTTTTCTCATCAGAATCTAACATTCGCTCTTGCTTTGAATATTGCTGTCACATCTGGTCCGGTTGTCCTGCTATATATTTTGAGATCCTTGATAAAATCCAAAGAAGAATCTGCAATATTATTATCCCTGGCCTGGCATCTCAGCTTCAGTCACTTTCCTACTGCCGTAACGTAACTTGCCTGTACCTTTTCTATAAAGGCTTTCATGGTAATTGTTCTGATGAACTTTACTCTATGGTATCTAGACTTTATGAATTTAAACGCAGTACTAGATTGATAGCAAGATGTCATCATTTTACAGTTGAAATGGCTGTGCTTAAATTCATAAAGTTGAGCTACCAAAGAGGAAAAGCTTATCAGAAGAATCACCATGAAAATATTAATAGAAAAAGGCACAGGGAAGCTAC